TATCATTTTATGTGCAATTTCAAGCGAGTGAGTAGGAATCTGCAACATGAACAGAATTTGGGGCACTTACTATATTTATTACACTTGACTAATTTAGAAATCAGTGAAAACCCGGTTTTCCAATACGTAATGTAATTTGCGTGGCCTTTTGCGTCAGCCGTTCCAACGAGCTTATAGCTCCTTCTAATCATTTTCTCCTTTCTACATCAGATTTCTTTCTCCTGGTAGTAATACAATATAAGTATTTATTTAACATTACATAGAACACGTTATCAATAATAGAGACGTTCTTTGAAAATAGTTTTTTTTAAAAAATGATGTTTGCAACTGCAGTACAAACGAGCTTATAGTTCCTTCTAATCCTTTGATTATTTCTCTCATGTACTTAGTATTCTAGCATGCTTGCCTATAATAAAATCATTATAATTCCAGTAGAGTGACATACGATTCCACTAAGGTCATTCCAGATTTTTAGAAACATTGAATTAGTTTAAAAATTTTAGATAAACATTGAAACTTGTATATCCACCTTTTGATATTCAGATTTAAATGTTACTTGCAACATTCACAAATTCTGTAAATTCAATTTTATAATTGCATAATCTGTTCGTATATCTAATATTTCCCACTGAAAATCATTTCCACCCTCCTCGGGACATACCAACCATTGTTTTTGTTCTCCCTTCGAAGACGGGATTTGTCATTCATGAATCAGCGAACGCGATTCCAATTTGCATATTAGCCACGTTCGGATCGGCGACCGCGTAAACAATCGGATCGTAACGCTTTGAAGAAAATTCCTCCGTTCACTTCGCTCCACGTCTTCTCCGATCGATAAAAATCGTGCGGTGGCACCTACGTAGCACGGCGTGCCGCGCCGCGCCGTGACCTTTCCGTGTGTAGCACAACGTGGCACGTTCACTTGAACGGACGGCACGGCGAGCGGCGGTGTTTCCGTCCGGCCGCAAAAATCTCCGCGAGCGAACGCAAACCACTGGAGCATGCACATTGTTAGCCAACTGGTCGAACGCGGTGAGGGATAATGTGGAATGCGAACTCGCGCCGCGGACGCCTCGCTCCCTTTTTCATAATCTCGCGTGAGCTCTGTTCGCCGGTCGCGTGCTGTGCTCGTATCCACGACACTTGATAATGCGATTGTACTGACAGGACGGTTTCCCATGCTCTTTCCTAAAGTAACGCGGCACTGCAAATCCGCCTACAACGATATACTTCTAATAACTTCAGGCTACGGTTCGTAATGAGGGGTTCAAACAACTTCACGTCTCGTGAATCATTCTAAGGGAATTATTCGCGAACGTACGGGCGTCGAGCTATCCGCCACTTAATAGAAACGAGTCCCGTCCTTCCTTTATTCATATTTCATCATATTAAACGGTCCAAGGACCGTCGTAAGCAAATAGCCGCGTCGGATCTAGACTAACACGATCAAAGCGTTCGCTTCGTTTCCACTAGTAAGACCGTAATCGCCGGAAGATTAACGTTCTCGTGGGAAAATCGCGCGGCCCGGCATTGTCTGCCCTGAACGACAGGACCAAAGACGATGAGATACGACGGTACGACTACACGCTACGACGATTATGTACAAAGAAGATAAGAACCGAGGGGATAGGGTGGGATGGGGATCGAAGACGGGGCGGAATCGACGGGGATGGAGAGGTTAAAAGAGGGTGTGAGAGCCAAGAATTGCACGTGACGTTTTCCCACAGGCTGTTCTCTGCGCCATCCTGGCCGTCGCCGTCGCCGCTCCCGGTGGTCTCACCGGCATCGTTCTCGACCATGGAGTCGGCCCAATCACCGCTCCGTTGGTGGTTGCCCACGCTGCCCCAGCTCCAGCTCACGTGATCGCTCAACCCGTTGCACCCGCCATTCACAGCGCTCCCATCGTCACCAAAACCTACCTGACGCATGCCGCCCTCCCCGTCCTCTCCGCGCATGGTTTGCATTAAACGACAGCTGACTTTATCCTTTACTACCCGCGTCACGACGAGACCAACCCCCTCCCCCCTTAGAAAACACGCATACACAAAGACACATCCTCCCCTCTAATTCGTTCCCACGAAAAAAAAAGCGGTATAAGAATGACGAAATTGAAGAAAAACGAAGGAAAGGAAAGACCATAGCTCGAGGATGGAACGGAAAGCACAGCCAGGATCGATGGAGACAAGAGATGGTCATTCACTCGTGGCCGACTCCAGGTACGGAGACGAGACGTCCGTCGACTTTTCGGAACCACCTGGCATTGTCCCCGGCGCAGGTCTGACGGCCGGCGTCCGAACCGACACCAGCTAGTCTCTTTCCTTTTCGGCGATTCCCCATTCGCGGCTGAGATCATCGTTGCAATTCGGATATTCGCATCTCAATCATTTGCACCATCATTCCGGCCACCTTCCCCTTCGGTCATATGAAAGTTGAATAAAATTTTATTTAAAAAAAAAAGATGAACGGTCTTCTTTATTCTCCTTTGAACAGTTTTATAGTTGTTTCATACTGAAAGCAGCTTCAGTATGAGCTGTGTACGAATTCGTCAGCAGAGGAGCAGAGTAATGCCGCAAGTAAATCTCGTCGAAAACGTTCGTCGAGCGTTCACCCTCGATAGCGCATCCGGCGATAAAGCAATACACGTGTAACGATGTCCCTTATTCCCGTTAGATACGCGCGAACACACGGACGCTGCTGATACAAGCGTATAAACGAGGCTACTCGATCGTAGGCGCGTCTGTTCTCGCATCAATCTGCCCTTCGAGCATCCACCCTCCGTTTTACGACCACCCCCGACCCATCTTTTCGTGGAGCCAACCCAGTAAACTTCGTCAGTTCCGACGAGACTGTCTCCCGTCCGTCTCCATTCTCTCCGCAGGCGAATCCGAGCGATTGTTTGCCAACCGCGGATTTTACAACCGACGTAAAACAGACCGCGTGTTTGTAAATTACCGGCGAAGGGAAATGTGAGATCCGTCGCGTTACGTATTTTGTCAAAGTTGATTTATTTAAGTATCGTACAAAATAATTTGCCTTGCGCCATCGGAGATACCCAAGTGAAGCCGGTGAATCATCCTGTGAAGCATCCTAAATTCACCCGTAAAGGTAGACGGACCCAGGGTGGTACCAGCTGTAGCTGTGACCGTAGGACAGCGGCAGGCTATGCGCCGGTAGAATCTTGACGTAGGACTGCGGGTAAACGAAGGGGTGTCCGTACACCGGCGGCACCGGAGCCGGTGCGGCGGACACTGCCAGAACGGCCACGGCTAGCAAGAGAATCTATTACAAAAGAAAAAGGCAAGATTGAAATTAAGATAACGATAACTTGATGGAATTTGAAATTCAGAATAGAGATATTGATTATTCGGTTGATCCCTTGAACAGGAACGAGGTTGAAAGATTTATGAAGACACTTATAATAAGTGGCTGTTATTTTAGTATGCTTAATGTTTTCCGCGGGACGAGAGTGCGAGTAAACGGGACCGTCTTTAATGCGGAAAACATACAGCCATCAATCTCGTTCACGGAGGCGACGTAACATAATAGTCTATTGACTAATAGCGATAGTTTCG